TCTCTCTCTCTCTCTCTCTCTCTCTCTCCCTCTCTCTCTCTCTCCCTCTCTCCCCCCTCTCTCTCTCCTCTCACTCTCACTCCCCCTCTTTCGCAGGGTCGTAAAGTGCCCCGACGTTATCGCTGAGCAGTGCGGCTACGGCCCGGGGGCTGCATGTCGTCGTCCTGGACCCGAGGCAGGCACCTCGCTCGCGCACCTCGCGCCCCGCTGCGCCGCCGTGAGCAGACGGTGCGGGACAGCTATGGTCGCCATGCCGTGACGATCGTGGCCGACCGGCCCGCGGCCGCCTGTGTGTCCTAATGCGTGATAAGGCTATCGCCCGTGACGCGGTATCGACCCTGAGCTGACCCGCCCCGCGCCGCCGCGATAGACAACCCTTGTGTGTGCGTCAGGAGTGACGTCGTCGCCGAGACCATCGGGGTTGTGCAACGACGGGGCGAGGGGTCGCTTCATAGGGGCTCCTCCTAGAGAGGTCCGCGAGGGCTATTTTAAGCCATGGGGCGCCAGTTTCGCTCTTACTCCTGCGCCCACTCCAGGGCTTTGGATCCACTCTAGAGCTTTTTGCAGGGTTTGGCTCTTCCAGAGCTCTCCCCCAGAGCTCTCCTCCAGAGCTCTATTCCAGAGCTCTGCTCTAGAGCTCTCCTCCGGGGCTGCCTCCAGAGGCTCCAGGCCCCCCCGGTGGTCTGGAGGGGTGCGCCCATAAATAAGGCTGCTCCGTTAATAAGGGCTCGATGAGCCGAGCGCGCCGCGGCGTGCAGCCCCCCGGCGGAGGAGGACGCAGCGCCTTCATTAGGAACACCTCGGCCGCGCCGTAAATCCCACACCACGTCCGACAGCGCCGGCACCGCGCCACGTCGCACTACGTGTGAGTTTGAACTGCCGAATCGAATTGGAACGCGATTTGTGCAGAATTCCGCTTATTTTCGTTCGGCCGCGCGCGGCAAAATTGGCGGGACGAGACTTTGTCTCGATGCGGATTCAAACTGTAGTCGCGCTGCCGGTGGTCGTGGGCGTGATACGAGATCGTAACTCTTTTCATAACCCCTCATTTCCGAGTTGCCTGGCGTGTCGTCTGAGTGTCGTTTAATAGTGGGTAAAAGAGAGAAAGATAAAGTGACAGAGACAAGGGAGTCTTTTCTCACCACCATCACCATCACTCTGGTGCACCACAACGTTTTACGTTTGACCCGATCGGCAATCAAAACCGAAGAGCCGAAAGAAGACTCAATTGTCCCTGCAAAGGACATCAATCTCGTAGCCCCTCTCAGCCGCCCCTCCTCCTGCCAACCTTGTCCCCTCGCTTGCGACAGGGCCGCCAATGCAGACAAATCGACACCTTATACGTGCTGCTGCACCAGCAGGGTGCGGTGCTCTGAGCCGGCGCGCGCGAGAGAAAGAGAGAGAGAGAGAGGGAGAGAGACAGCATAAGAATAAAAGGAGACGAAAGAAGAGGAGGGCATCACGATTTACGAACAGACCCCGACGTAACAACCTGGGGTGTCAACCTGACGCTGCAGAGAAAATCCCCGGCGCTGAAGAGGGTCCGTCGAGAGTACTTCGCGCGTCCGTGTGAGAGAGTGCGTTTGTGAATGTGTGCGTGTTGATGTTGGGGGTCCGACCCGATTGCTGTGTCAACATCTGTGTGTGTGGCGCAGGGCACGTGCTCTCGTAGGCGCGCCTTTCTAACAACCCTTTCGCCTCTAAGACCATCTTACTTTTTAAAAAATATCTCTCTGTCAATAATCCTACACC